AAGAGAGCAGCTCCCACAGAGTGATGGCTTAGTAAGAGGTCCCCACGGCAATGTAAGAATATGAAGCTCTTCTTTGCCAGGCGCCACAATGAGCCTTATTGAATGTGGAGTTTCCAGCAGCAGTCGGTCTGTGGAAGTAGCTTCAGGCTTTTCTCCTACAATTCGGCCACACCGAGGAACTCATAATCCCTCACATGACTGATTCAGTGACCCATCTTCTCACCTAAATTCACTAACCCATCCCAACAGCTCTTATTGCCCAGGGTGGAGGGATATTCCTATTCACACTGTGTTACTGGCTCTCACCTTAAAACACCAAAAACTTAGTATCAAACAAAAATAGCTCAGGAATTTCAAAGTTCACTTCAAATATAATATATTGGATGTGAAATAAATTCGTTTTCAAGGTTTTTAAGAATGCTTCAATTTGTTTTCAGTAGTTAAGTCAAAAAACAAAACAAAACAAAACAAAACTTAACTTTTTAAACTCTCTTCCCTGGTTGCTGTCTTCCTCTGAAAAGACAATGTTCAACCAAAACAACTGGCTTGAAAAAACCATTTCCAGGGATTTCTAAATACAAACAGAGAGTTGTTTAGGCACCAGAATGATCTGGCACAATCTGTCTAATCTTTCCCCTCAGGTTTCCTAGCATGAAACTAAACCCCGGAGGGAAAAGAAAAGTTCCTTTTGGCTTACTCCATGATTCTTGCCTGACCTGTATTTTATGCTACTTTAAGCAGAAATCTGCTGAAAAGCTAGAAAAGGAATATTTGAAAAGCTCTTTAGGGACAATTTCGTCACCCTTGACAGAAATGACTGCAGATGTGCGCAGCCTCCTCCACAGACCGCCTCCTGCCGCACGCGCTGGCAGTGAGAGCATTTCACCCCTTGGCCCGCGGCAGCTAATCCTCAGCCTTCAGGAGGGGGTCATGTAGGCAGAGCAGGTCTAAAGGGTGTTCCGCCACCACTTCTAGCGGCCTCTAATCGTTTGTTGGAACTTGGGTGAGAAATAAAAAGTAAATGACAATTGTCTATATTGAAATCAGGGCGAGTTTGATTTCAAAGGAGCTGATGTAGTTAAAAAGCAAAGGCTTAGGCCTCGTAACCAGACAAGGGTTATTTGCCGATTTTGAAAATGTCTAGCTGTGTTTTCCTTCTACCCTAGCCCTCTGACTCTCTAATTGCTTACCCAGAAAAATATCTGCAATGAATACCTCGTCTATTAGGTGTGATAAAATGAGACAATGGGTGACAGAACACTTCATAGGTGAAGAATTGTTTCGATGCAGGGTGGTATTTTCAGAATGCAGATGGGATTATATGAACTCCACTGTGAGGTCTGAAATGGGAGACTTTTATCCAGTCTCTTAAAATGAATACTAATACTTATTTCTGCATTTAGTGAACAGGAATTTGATGGCTCCATATGTTTCCATCTCTTAGCAATTTTTTCTAAGTTTTGAAGTCATTATATGGCATTTTATATCAATTTCATTCCATACCTGCCATTAGTTGTTTGGCAAAATGCATGGTTGAATTATATTTCTGATACATTCATAACAGCAGGGATATAGTGCAGGGTGGCACAAAAGTAGGTTTACAGTTGTGAGTATGCGAAACACAGTTTATTCTTGTATTATTGTTTATGAATTATTGTATAATTTTTTAAACCAACAACTGTAAACCTACTTTTGCCCCACCCTCTGTATTTATATTTTAGAAAATAGGGCATTTACTTTATCATCTATTAAAATAAAACTAAACAAGAACCTATGCTATGGTATACTGATTTCCTTTTGATTGTAATTTCAGTAAAGAATGATTTCAAGATTCAATCACAGGACTGTAAATGTGTGAGAATATCCACCAGAGCATTATTCGACGAAAGGGGATTGGAATCAATTTGCTATAAATTTTAACAACAATATCTAGAAAAAAATCAGACAAAATATTGATAATTTAATGTAGAATGTGAAATAAGGTAAGCACTTGACTACTTTGATATGTATAATTACGAAATATTTGAAGGAAGAAATGAATACCATTAAGAAATCAACAAAACTTATTTGATGGAAGAAAAGGTGAGAGAAGGAATATTAAGTACTTTTGGAAAGTACTAGTAAGGCTAACTAGAAAAGGGAATTCATGCGTTGGTGCTAATCTGTAAATTGGGCACATTCATAATTATGCTAATGTTTAAGCTAATTGTTTCCTTAATTACCTGGCTAATTCGAGAAACATCTCTGTCCTATTACATACATCTTTCACAGCCCCTAAATATCTGATTAGTTGGGACAAGAGAGTATTGAATTTTTTAATTTTCTGAGAATAAAGAAAAATTCTGTAGGATAGTACAAAGTTTGATTTTAATTTTGTGTATAGAATCATAAAATCAAGTATTTTAGGGCTGGAAGAGACGTAAGGGGGCAAATTCTGCTATCTCATTTAAAAAAAACACCTTTATTTTATATATGTTTTTGAATTAAATTTGAAGATAGTTTTATAATCACCCTCCTTTGATTCCTGTCACTGGCAGTGGCACTCTTTCTTGAGGAAAATTCCACGAATGTTGGGTTAAGTTAGGGACAGATATAAACTTGCTTTCTTTTCTGAACACAGCTTTGGAATCAAGTTTAGATGCATCTCCAGAGCAAGGGCTCATAGAATGTGTTTTCCTCTCTCCAGGAACCTGAGAAGATTGTGAAATAGATCAGATGTGGGAGAAGGAAATAGTGGGAGCATTGCCTAGGGGCCGCCCAACTCCATTATTTATTTACATGTTTATGTCAGCTCTGGTGCTTTTATTTGGAAATAATTTTCCATCTATCTTATAATGTTTCCGTCATGAAGCTTTGGTCTGCTCCCCAAATCTCTACCATTACGGCTCTCCCTAACTATGAAGCAGTGAGTATAAATACTCTATTGCAAGGAATCAAATGAGAAAGCAAAAACTGACACACTCATTTTAAGCTACATCATATAACAATGGCTCAGAACCCAGTAGTTTATGAATGAAATAAAGATACTTTATTTATTACACAGGCACTTAGATATTCACATGCCCAACACGATACACTTAACAACTACGGAAACATGAGTGGAAAATGTCTGCTTGTAGGATAAAGAGAGAACTTTCACCGTGTAAAGGTGAATGAGTGCATTAACAATTTTTCCTTTACTTTCCTCTAAGAATTTCCAAAATCCACTGAATTTTTTAAAAGTTACACTTGAAATGATATGTAACAAAAACTGATCTACATATCAACTGGTATGCTAACTGGAATTGTGAGCAGTTTAAAGTTTTATCACAACGCAACATATTTATAGTCATGCTTGAACAGATTAGGTTAGTGGCATGCATTCCATTCTGCAATATGAATACTGTTAATCTATTTCCCAACAAAAGTCAAAAGGTGCCCAGTGCATAGAAAAATACAAATCACTGTAGTCAATATATTATGGGGCTGATTTTGGGACTTACACGGTGATGATGAAGTCCTGAAATGCCATGCCCACAAAAGCACATTAAAAAGTGGATAAACATATCTTATCAGACAATCTCTAAAAATTAAAAGGCGAGGGCTTTAAATTTGGGGAATGTTCTTGCTGTGTGCTTTGAATAGTGCCTTTCTGCTCACCTCCTTCTGGCTTGACTGGTCCATCAGACATCGCCTTCCTGAGGGCTAGCTGGCTTTGGTCTTGGTTGCCATTGGCTGGTGGAGGCAGATTATCAGACTGAGTTCTTTGAATGGGGAGGACTCCTGCTATGCTGTGTCTGTGCTGCTTCCTGGCATGATTAGACTGACCGCTTTTATGTGCTGCTGTGGCAGTGTGGGTGAAATGGAAACCCAGAGTATGTATCCTCAGATGGAACCAGCTTAAATGTTAGTCATGCAAACAGAAGTGATCTTTTGCTCTATTTAAACAAGTTGTGTTTTCAAATGCCAAAATGACACCACATGCACAGCACTAAAGGGGGTTAAAACTGGCTGTTTCTTTGGAAATTATGACTTTGGGAGATGGGGAGAACGTTAATCTGTCTCCATGTTTGGCTAATGCCTCTTGGAAGTAACAGTGCACCTACATTTGTAAAAATCTCTGTACTTTATATGTTTTTATACATCAGCTGACTAAGGTTTCACAAATTAAGTGAAAATACAGCAGTTAATATGGGTAAATTGTTACGCTCTAACTGATACGGTGACTTTCAAAGGATTTCCAATTATTAGAAAAACAATAACCTGTAAGTTCTCTATTATCATATACAAATGTGATCCAACAGAATGGACCCCATTGTGCTCTTAGTGAGGTTCTTGCCTCCTCACCTATGCTTAATCACATGTTAATACTATATACTTTCTTGAGAATATAAAAAATGGGATTTTCTTCACAGATTCCTTTTTTCCAAAAGACTATAAAGATTCCCACATGGAAAACTACAACTCTTCATGTGCATTGTCTGTTGTTGATAAGCTTGAAATGCCACCCCCCCAGGTTCTAGAACTTGACTTACATTGGTTACATTACTCTTCTGCCTCAAATTTTTGAGTGTTTTTAGATGCGAGAATCTCATGTATAAATGCCTGCTTTAAATGCCTGTGTGTGTGCTTTTTTGGTGTAATGCCTGGAAAATTGGCAGCCACTGTGCTTATAATTCCCATATTCTAAAGGATAGTTAAGTGCACACAAAAAGGACACACAACATTGTTTGCCTGCAAACATCACAGACACAGCTACCAAATACTATGAGCCAGGTTGGATGGATGGTGGAGACAAAGGAGAAACAGCCAGTTTTACTGCAGTCTATGTAAGTTTTAAAAAAATCTAAATAAGAAAGAGCATATCTATGTATTGATAGTTCTTACACAGACAAAGGGACAGAGAACAGAGTGAGGTGGGTATGCCAAAAACAGAAAGCAGACAGGAGAGGACAGCAGGAAAGAAAGGCAACAGATGAACATTAAGCTGCCATGCTGAGGAATTTATTTGCGTCTTTTACTTGGTTGAAGGCGGAGTTGTTGTACGGCGGCTTCAGCAGCGGCTATGGCAGCCCCTGCGTCTTCCAAGTGGGTCTGAGTGACGCTGGTTTTGCTTTGACTGCGAGATGGTCCATGAGAGCGGAGATGGCCTTCAGATGAGGATTTCGAGCTACCAGGACTGCTGTGGGATTTCTCAATGGTGGGAACCTGCATGTCTGGTTACAAAAGAGTAAAACACAAGTTAAAGCTGCCCCAGCATTCCTCCAGTCAAGCTTGGTCTCACATACTTTGAAACTGTCTTAGGATTTAGGTTAATCTGTTTCTTTTTGGCTTTTTCATGTTACTGTATGCGCATCATACAGTAACATGATTAAACATCTGGGAAACAGTTTTGGGGAGGAAAGGCAAATGGATGATAAACTTGAGAAGAGAAGTTTGAGAAGAGGAATACATTCTAACTAGCCTTATGTGAATGGATATATTATAGTTTCACAAAGCAACTCTGTTAATTCTGGTTGGGGCCAGGTAAGAGACAATAGGCTGACAGTGTGGCAAGAGGAGTTGGAAGTAAAAATCTAGTGAATTCTTGGATGAAGGCATGTGAGTCGCTAGGACATATTAAAAGTGAAGATCGTAGCCCTGGCCAGTTTGACTCAGTGGATAGAGTGTCGGCCTGTGGACTGAAGGGTTCAGTTGCAGCCAAGGGCATGCACCTCAGTTGCAGGGCAGATTCCCAGGCCCAGTCAGGGAGCATGACGCAGACAACCAATTGATGAGTCTCTCTTACATCAATGTTTCTTTCTCTCTCTCCCTTCTACTCTCTTTGAAAAGCAATGGAAAAAATATCCTCCAGTGAGGATTAAAAAAGAGTGAAGATCGTAGTTTCGGGTGGTTTTGAGAATGTATATATATATCACACATAGCCATAGAGAATGTATATATATATCACACATAGCCATAGAGAGCGGGGTCTTTATACTAATGATCTTCTAGAATGTTAACCAGGGCAGCGTTGATCTGACTAAGTGGAATCCATAAATAATCTATAAAACTCATCCATGAGTAACCTGTAGCACTCATTGTAGTCAGTGGTTTATCATATCAATTCAGTGGCCTACTGGATATGGATGGCCTCAGTTTTCTTTTCTTTTTTTTTAATATATATTTTATTGATTTCAGAGAGAGGAAGGGAGAGGGAGAGAGAGAGAGAAACATCAATGATGAGAGAGTCATTGATTGACTGCCTCCTGCATGCCCCACCCTGGGGATCGAGCTGCAACCCGGGCATGTGTCTGACCGGGAACCAAACTTTGATCTCCTGGATCCTAGGTTGATGCTCAACTGCTGAGCCACACCAGCTGGGCTGGTCTCAGCTTTCTATTTCCTAGAACACTTGCCCTTATAATCCGTTCCTTTCTAATGGGTAAAGAACCACTTTTTGATTTCATGTACCCTCTGAGAGGAGGAGAGAAAGAAGCAATACTTAGGTCCACCATAAAAATTTGTATTTATTACTTATAAATAGTTCAGCATATCAAAATAAGATACTACTTGGTTATCTCATACATGCAGTAACTCAGTTTATGATGAAGATTAACACTGTGTTGTACGGTAATTGGTAATGAACCTCCCAAAGGAAAAGCTCATTCAAATGGGAATGCTGTGTAAATTGCCAAATGCAATGTGTGACATTAATTTTTAAAAATAATATGGGTTGCCTGGCTGGGCTTGGCTCAGCGGTTGAGCATCGACCTAGGATCCAGAAGATTGCGGTTCGATTCCTGGTCAGGGCATATGCCCCAGTTGCAGGCTCGACCCTCAGTCGGGGGCCTGCAGGAGGCAGTCGATCAATGATGACTCTCTCATAATTGATGCTTCTATCTCTTTCTCCCCCTCTCCTTTCCTCTCTCTGTAATCAATAAAAAAATATTTTTAAAAAATAAAAATAATATGAGTTGTTACCCTGGCTGGTGTGGCTCAGTTTGTTGGAGTGTTGTCCCATACACTAAAAGGTGGCAGGTTTGATTCCCAGTCAGGGCACTACACAGGTTACAGAGTTTGGGCCCTGGTGGGGCCATGTACAGGAGGCAACCTACCGATGTCTCTCTCTGTCTTTCTCTCTTTTTCTGTCCCTCTCTTCCTCCCTCCCTCCCCCACTCTAAAATCAATGGAAAAATGTCCTTGGGTGAGGATTTAAATATATATATATAATTAGTTGTTGTTTTTTTAAAAATCATAAAAACAGCTCGAGTCCAACATTAGGAAAGCTTTAAGTAAATATCAGCATATAAATTACTTTGATGACATGGGGAAAATGTTTCTGATATGATAAATAAAAAGGAAGATGCAAAATTATGTATAATTATATAGGTAATAAGTAAAAATATACATACGAAATAGAGATTTAAACAATAAGAGAAATATGTATAAATGATAATGATGATTATGTCTAGTCAATAACTATTGAGGATTTTTATATTTTCTTTATGAAATACCCCAGTTCATCTTATAAAATCATATTATCATGGATTTTGAGAACTGGAAAAAAAAACAATAGCTCACATAACCCAACTTTCTTCATTGTACACGTTGAAAAATGGAGAGTCAGAGAGGTGAAGATCATAAGCTAATCATGGATGATCTGAGACTACCTCCATTTCTCCTAATTCCATAGCCATTATTCTTTGCATTTTAATATTATATTATAGAATTTCTAATAAAATTTAACCTTCAAAATATATTCAATATACAGGCATTCATATTAAATAGATACTGAGTGAACCAAAAAACAAAAGCTTTTTCTACTTGAAATATCTCCTACCCTTGGATGGGTCAGGGAAGATACCATGGCTTCTGCTTTTGATGACAGATGGCTTTGGGGATTGCTGGCTACTTTGACTGGAGTGGGACTTGCCATGATCAATGCTTTCAGTCTGTTCTTTGAGAGGATACCACCTAGGAGTGTTATCGAGGTGAGATGTGCTAGATAAATCAATCAATACCTGAAAAAAGTACAGTAAGTCAATAAAATTTATAAATTAAGCTATAATAAACTCATTACTTTTTTCTGTGGTCAGAAATTTATTCAAGGATATAAACCCAAAGATAATAAGGTTGTCTTCCTCATTTTCTTCACCCATGATACTGGGAATAACAACTTGTGCATATTAGATATTTAATGGATGTTTGGTTAAACTGAAATGTATAAAATATTTGACTATTAATAAAATTTTGTGGTGCTGATATAAAAAGAATGAATAGTCAACCTCTTTATGACATAAAACTTGGTTAAATGGACACATTCTAGTCCTCAACTTGGATAGCATTTTTGAAGATTGTTTGATTTTAGTTATAAGAGGGACAAAATAAAAAAAGAATGAATAACTTGCAATTACTAATGGATTCCCTCTATTTTAAAACATACTTTAGTTCACATCTGAAATAAGAATATAACTAACAGTTTATCATGAGAAAGCACTATGTCATGGTTAATTGGCAGCATTTTTTCTTTCTTAGTGGTTCATCAAAAATTTATAGTTGCTGGCATCTTAGATTTGATGATATGAAAAAATGAAAACCAGCACACTGGAGATATGCTCTAAGTTCATGTAAATATAACAAATTACAAGGACTTCAATAAGTCAGTTTTTTGAAATGAGGCATTAAAACAGATACAATACTATCTCCTAGAGTAGTTCTGTCTAAGATCCAGATTAATCTAAGTGGGGGTACCAGCATGGGGCCTGCAGGTGAAGGTCAAATGGTCTAGTTTGATGGGAAAGCAAGGTACAGATTCTGGGAATCAAAGGAGGTCTCATGTCATCTAGACTACACAAATTTTGACATGACTCTATCAAAGGGATATCATATTTTTAGATGTTATATCTTTTTGGAGATGATTTTTTTAAACAATTTATAACTTCTGCTCTAAGCAAAGATCACTATACAAAATATATATATTTGAAATATGAGAGATAAAAATCCCAGGATCTGACCAACTCTACCAGATTTCATGTTTAGGTTAGATTCCTTACGAATTTATGTAAAACTGTTATTATTGCTTTCTCTTCTAGTTTGCTTCTTAAAACATTTTGAAAGATTTTTCTCTGAATACTTAAATAAGAGTGTAAAATGTCACATCAAGTCATTCATACATGCAGTGAGGAAATAATCTGAAAATTAAATAACCTGAAAATACATTTTAAAAAACTCCAGTTCATTTTATAAAATAATAAATTTATCTCAAATCTTTAACATAATAATTTGAATTCAAAGCGTGATCATATATCTTTTTATCCAAATAATTAATATATAATTTTATTAATCAATGTCACTCCAATAAATTCAATAACAAAATTTGGAAAAAGTAATCCCTTAAAAATCAAAGGCAAAATGAAATAAGTGAACCTAACTCTGTACTCAGTAGCATAACCACACAAAGATTATTCCATGAAATTTTAAAACACAGCAATTTGACTCTACATCCATCCCTAGGAGAGTATATCCTAAGGACAAAAAGAACTGCAAAAATTCTTAAATCCATACTTAATGTTTAAATCACAATGTTCATGGTGGTATCTGTATTGCTATTCTTCACCTGTTTTGTGTATATTGTGCATAAAGCAAATGAGTAAAAAAATTCATCTTGCAAATTAATTATAAAGTAATCAAGTGGCAAAGTAGAAACCATTTCTTGAATCGCTATCCATATTTAAGAGTAATTAGAAAATAAATTCTATCCAACAAAGGACTTTATCCAGAAGTGATTATCGTAAATACTTAAGAATATATACTTTGCATAAAGCTTTAATTGGTAGTTTACAACAAAAGCAAATAAGGAAAAGAAAATCAAAGGCTTACCTCACCGAGAAAGTCATTGGAAGAAAATCTATCATAATCCCAGACTGTCACCTCCAGTGTTTTCTTCTTGAGCTACAGTTCAAATCAAAATGTCATTCACACCATTTCTCATCATAAATTTTCATTTTACTCACATTATAGACTCATTTATTTTTACTTCCTCGAAATCTTTTCATTTACATAAAAACACTTTAAATATTATTTAAAACTATGTGGGTTTATATTAAATATTACGTAAAATATCAATGATTTTGTACTCCAACCTAGTCTAATAGACCTTACTATTTTGTAAATTTTACTAAATTCCTGTTAATCTATCCCCATCTTTAAAAGTAGAAATTAGAATCCATAAATACTCTAAATACATGGGATTCATAGGTTGCAAAACTGTCTAGGTTATTTAGATCAAGTATTTGGATTAGAATTTTTCGGTTTCAGGAAACTGCCAAAATAAACCATAATAGCGTTGTCTTATATCTGCAGGTGAATTTAACTTATTTTCCATTCAAAACCCATATTAGCATTTATATCCAGCTTTACCTTCATAGTCAAATCAGAAATCTTCCAGAGGACAAATAATAAACCTCATTTTGAAAGACAACTCACGTTAAACAGTTTCATAGGGATGTCTTCCCCTGTTCTAGTTGTAGCCTTGTCTCTGGATTTTAGATCACCGTCGCCCAATAATTTTGTCATTGCTACTCTTCTAGTACCCTAAACCTGGCTCACAGAAAAGAGTCGTTGCATACCTGCTCCAGGGAGATACTTTTATAAATTACTGTTTGGTTCCACTCGGGGTTCAGGCTTTTCTGCACGTACTTGGTCCTTCTTTTGTACTCGGCGCTGGGTTGGGAGAAAAGAGAGCGGCCTGGGTTACTCACTGCACCGGGGGCTCCGCAGACCCAGGGGGCCGCAGGCATCATCACGACACCGTGTTTTCAATCACTGTGCAGTCATCTCATCATCCTCATGTCCGAAACGTTATTTTAATGTACAATGTACAAATGTACAATGATATTTTAAAAATATGTTGGAGGCCTTTCGGTTGATTTGCCCTCGAGCAGCTTTTTGAAGACAAGTTTTAGGTGTTCTAATGACACTGTCATTTTAGAAACTGACTCCTTCCCGAACGTGGGAGATAATCACAAGAACCAAATGGTACCATCCATACCCTCTTGCCTTGTAAATAATAAGTTGGTATTTAAATTTCAAATAGTTTTTCACCTAATCATGTCAGCAAAGCCAAATTCACCGTCATTCTTTCAATTCATTGTTTTCTATAAAAATTGTAATAATTATGCTGAGTGAAGGATACAAATGGCTGTTGCAATTGCTGAGATTCCACAAACGTTTATTAAATTATGTATCAAGTATGCTCTGACTGTCTTAGGAAAGTAGGACATACAACCTAGTTATAAAGGAATTTTAATTAAACATAAATTCTTGGTTTATGTCGATAGCTTATGTTACAAGTGGTAAACCAAATCAAATTTCCCTCATTCATTACAACTTGGGGTATTTGTTTATCTTTGTCTTTTCCATTCCTTCTGAGCAACAGTTAGAAGCTTATATCCTATAAGTTTAAAAATAACTTATTTCCAAAACCTATTCTAATGAAGTCTGAGAGAACAGCTACAACTGGCACCAACCAGCTGATGGGACTGGAATCACTGCCGCCTGCCATGAGCAGCGGTGCCCACACAGACAACGCCTTTCTTTAACCCTCCTTGCCTTTTTCTGAATTTTCTGCCTAGGTTTGTGTCTCAGGATCTAGATAACTCTAATCCTAGTGGGCACCAAAATCCTGAAAACCACCCTACTTGTCTGGGATCCTTTCATGAGCCTGGACCTCCCAAGCTCCCTGTCTCTAGAGGGACTGATCCTGACCCTAGAGCTGTAGTTCTGTTCTCAACTCCGAGCAAACTAATTCTCCTACGTTCCTGGCCTCAAGCAGAGCCACACCCTGGAGTTCCTGGCCTCAAGCAGTGCCACACCCTGGAGTGCCCACTATTGTTCCCCAGACGCTCATATACTTACACATTCCAGATACGCTGCTGGGAATACACTCTAGATCACAACCACCTTTTAGGGATGGGTTTACAGCCAAGTATCTGTCTCCTCACTCTGGCTTTATTCTTTCTCTTATCAGCCATATACAAGGGCAGTAATTCCCAACACTGACTGCACACTGGGGTCACCTAGGAATCTTCATTCCAAGGGTGGAAGGTGGGGCAATCAGCCCCACACCAACATCTCCCTGCCTGTACCCCCAAGGAGATTCTGCTTTGATAGGTCTGTGGTAAGGCTTGAGCATAGGAATTTTTGAAATCTCCTGGGTAAATCTAAAGTGTAGGCAAGACTGAGAACCACTAAACTTATGTCTTCTAAGACCTCACCTTTCAGTCCTTGCATAATGAATCCAATTTAGGAAATAAAGCAACACTCTTCTGACTTCTAACCAACCCATATGAATGTACAAAAATAAGAGCAGGATTTGACAATTCTGTCATTGTAAAAATTTTGGGAAAATGTATATGCAGTGATTTAAAGAAACGGGTACTCTCATAGATTGTAGACAGAATAAAAATTTGTACACACACATTTTAGATAAATTTGTCAATATCTAGTGAAGTTTAAATTTATGTACCCAAACACCCAGAAAATTCCACTTTGACTCATTCCACTTCAACCCTAGAGAAATTCTCCCAACTATGCCCATGGAATTTGTTCAAGAACATTCACCACAACATTGTTTCTGATACTATGTTAATAAGATAATGAATAAATACGTTGTGGTTTAGTTATTCAATGAAATAGTAAGCAGAAGTTAAAATGAATAAAGTATACTTTCATATATATTAAGATAGATATATCTTTAAAAACTATTGAGCAAAAATTTGCAGGATAACTATAATAAGTTATAATAATTTAAACTGAAAATCATGTGGAATAATTCTGTAAATTATTTATGTATACATGTAGATATGTGTACAACAAACATTAATTTCATAAGTCTCTTGGGAATTATATATATTAAATTCTATTTAAAGGTCATCTCAGGTGGACAGGGGAATTATTTCAAAGGGCTTCAGGAATACCTTTAAATGATTTTTATTAAAAAGAAAATCTGAAGCCTATATAACAAAATGTTAAGATTTGATAAAACTGGATAGCAACAGCACAGGTATTAAACTATTTTCTATAATTTAAGTAAGTCTGAAATGTTTTATAATAAAAATTAAAAATTAATTTGGGAAACTATATCCCTTTATATTTTGTTTTTGCTTTTGTTGCTACTTTAGAATTCATGGCCCTACCTCTAGGCAGGTAAGCTTAGAAGAAAAACACGTGATAGTATGAGTTTTAAAGTTTTTATTTGTTTTGAACTTTGATATCAAGTTGATGAGATCATGAGAAAAACATATTAAAGATTCATAATATAGTGGATAGTAGTAAAATTGTTATTTTTTCAAATTCTGAAAAATTAAACAAATAACAAAATAGAAATTTATGTCAAATGCAAACTCAGGCACTTTCACTATAATTCTAGATATGTCAATCTACATATAAATAGTCCGCATTATTGAAATGTCTTCAAAAGGATTTATTAGTTACCATTTTTTCTTAATCTATAAATAGGAATAATTGGTATAATTTTTCACATGTGTACTTTTTAGTCATTTTTTTCACTAACACATTTAGCAAAAAAGAAAATTAAATTCCAACTCTGTGTGAGGAACTGTGCTTTTCTATCAAGATATACTTAATTGTATTGACATACCATTATATATATGATTCACACATAAAAAGCACTCTATAAAATAAGCACATTAAAATAAAAACAGCTAACACTTATTAAATGCTTACTTTTTCTCAAGCAGAGTTCTGGATGCTTTCAATGTGCTAACTTATTTAATCCTAACTGCAATTCTATGAGACAGGTATCATTTATTATTCTATGTTTTAGGAAAAAACTGAAGCTGCACAGAATTAAGGCATGTTGGGGAGATTGTATCATTATGAATTAGTAGGACCATAATTCAAACACAGGGGAACTGGTCTTAAACATATGTGATATGAACTCAATTAATTAGGCTCATCATAAAATGTAAATAAGCCATCAATATTCTTAATTGCAGGCTTCATTAGCTGAAGTGTCTAGTTTGTCTTTTTCACCCTCTAATTTAAAGTTCTTTAAGTCAATTTAAATATACATATTTCCTATTTAAACATATATTTCATATGGATAATATAAATTACCTCTGTGTGTGTACATATAAAACATCAAAAATTAGGTAAATTTTAGAGCAGCCCAGGGAAATTTTGAATGGTATATCCTAGAATTAAGGATAATTACTATAAATATTTACTTTTCCTCAGATACACTCAAATAACTAAAATTGTTTGGGAAAAAATTTAGATATTCATTTTAATACAGTATCTTAATCTCCAATTCTCTCCAGAATCCAAGTATTCATTGCCTTTAGGATTAATGAAGGTAAATACACCTCATTCCTGAACCCCCCTCCACCATCCCTGGTTGTAAATACCAATGAAATCCTTTGCAGTCTTTTTGTACTTGAATATCCTGATACACACAGATGGCCAGAAAAAAACATTCCTTTAGTAGCACTTTAAAAAATAATAATAATCATGTACTGACCATCTTGAGCATGATCCCAATGGGCTGTGTTGCCACATCACACAACTGAAAACTCCACAATTCTGTGGATTTACAAGCTGAAGATGACCAGGTAAGCAGGGGGATTACATGTGAGCATAAATTCAGGTTGAGAGAAAAGTGGAGCTCATTTTCTTTTTCCTTCCTTGCCTAGCAAACACACTAAATCCCCTCAGGGGAAAACTACATAATGATATTATATTAGGACAATTAGGCCATATCTAACAGTCAGAGAAGTTTTCTAATAAGGAGTGAATATAAAAAGTCAATTTATTAATATGGGACATGGTGTTTATAAAAAACACACCTAAACATTCCTATGAAGTTTTGACTAATTTTTTTTCATTTTTTTTTATTATTGGCCAAATCAGTTTATCATAAGCAGATATGCTTTTAAGACAGGCAGAAAAAGAGATTTAAAATATAATTATTCTACCTTAATCCAGCTGAAAACATTCTCTGAGTTTCTCTATTTAATTTAAAAAGAAACACTGAGAATGAAGAATGGGATGTGATAATTTCCTTGTATTTAACTTCCAAAAAATTATCTAAAATATTTAAGGTCCTTATTTAAAAAATTATTTGGTTTTCATTTATTGCAAATATATACATATATTCCTTTAATGCAAAAGTAAATAACTATATATTTTCTAGAATTACCCTTCTTTTGATTTAGAAAGACTGCAAAGCACATACCATTTTATAAGCTCTGTTTTTCTGTGCAATAGTCCCTCACTGTATGTCCTCTGTGCTTCCCGAGGTCAGAGACAATGGCCGTGTTGTCAGCTCTAACTCCAGCGCCTAGCACAGTATCTGGAGCAATCTGTGCTAAATATTTATTGAACAGGACCTTAAAACATTCTTGTACTTTTTTTTCTTTTAAAATTCATTGCAATGAAATCATTTTTGGCCTTCAAATTGTAAATAGATACGATACCTGTGTCTGCTTCCCATAAGTGGAGTAGGAAATCGCTTATGATAACAAGGTTGCTTAGAGAAAGTCCAGCCAGGAACTAGGTTTACAGGTATGAAAGCTAAAATCAGCTTCGATCAGAGCAAAATCTCATTAATGGGAATTTTTGGGGGAATTTTTTAATGGGAAACCTCACAACTTGTACTAGGCAGGACTGAAATTCAAACCCAGTTTTTAAAAGACTGCTCACTGGTCTCTTCAGGCTAACTTACAATGTCATTACCTTGTCATTATAATTCCTTCTCACATTGACAGATCTCTTAGATGATAAAAGTGACTTCTAGATGAAAGATATGATGAAAAAATGATATCTAGATCTTCTAAATTCCACACAATAGGTAATCCAACCCAACCTAGACTATTTCAATCATTATTTATACTTACAAAACATGTTCTCTTCTAAGCTAAATATAGACAACCACTGTCATTCTGACAATGTTCCCCCAGTTTCTCTGGATGAAAGACAGGATGGTCTGAATAAAGTGATGGATAATGTCTGTTCTAATGACACTATCTCTTTGAAACAACTAATTTTTCACATCAGTCTGAGAGCTCTAGATGGCATCCTGAGATGAGAGAGCCAGTCATAACAAGCAACATTTCACAGTATCTTATTTTACTGTTTGCCATAATTATGTGGCTGCAAGAAAACACAAAGTTTCTGGGCACTGGAAAGACTGCGGTGAATCTTATTCTTTAAAATATTTAAATATTTATGCCTTTAAAAATCAGAAACAGCCTCTTTTGGGCACAGCTTGTCAGGATTTGTAAAAATGTCAAACTTAATGTCACTGACTAAAACAAATGCTGTACCATTAATATTCTCATCACCCTATTGCTACAGATGGTATAAGAGTCTCTTCTCCAACTAAATAACACATTTAATTTATAATGCAATGAGATGTGCAAATGAATGCTTTTGGCTAAGTATCCAGAGATAGCCTTAGCTGACAATGTAATGATGCACCATGTTATGAGCTCTATCAGGAAACACTTTCCTTCTATTGGCAAACAAAGGATGCTCATATGTTGTGGCAATGCACTAGCACAGGCAGATTATGGCTTCCTATATTGCACAGCAATAATTTTGTGGTGCAGAAGGTATCGGGATATGGAAATGTTTCAAAGTCAGGGTTTAAGTGAGGGACAGAGACCAGACAACTATCTCATCTCATCTCAACTTTAAGATGAGATATATACCTAGTACTAGACAACCAGATCAGTTCATTCCTTTTGAAAATGACTCTAGATTTTTTAATTTGTAACAGAAGGCTCAGAGAAAATAAGGCATGCTTGAATTTTAGTGTAAAAATTACGAATAAAAGCTTTCATTAGGCCTAATTTTGGGTGATATTTCTTTATTCATATTCTTATGTTTTTAATATTTCCTACTTTTCTGTGTTCTATTGCACACATCTGCTAAAACTATTTAGTAACACTTTCGTTGGAACAATTTGCTATCAGCTTAATTCAACAGATACCAACACGCAGAAAAAGAAAAATTATAGCCCAAGTTAAACTGCAGGTGGCTGTTGTAAGTCAAAGGCAAAAAATATGATTCTAGACAGTACAGAATAGCTTAGCACTGAAAGAGAACCAACTCTACCTTGCATTCTGGACAACCATCACTTGACTGCATAGATTCCAAGAGCGCAAGTGAAGGATACGACAGGAAGTAGGAAAGACAGAGAGAAAGAAGTTAGGAACAGAAATAAGGAGGAAAATATGAGAATAATAATTAGGGAGCTAGCTATACCATAACATACGGACGACATGAGGCAGAAAATAATCTTAGAACTAAAGTGAAAATAATACCTCATAAGTGCAATAAACCCCAAGGCCTTGGCCACTGTAATAATTAGGAGTAATTTAATAAAGGGCTAGGAATTGGATAGCCTTTGGGCCAAATCCCATCAGGCAGGAATGTTTTGTTTGACAGATTGCATGAGGATGGCTTTAGCTGGAAATTCACTCTTCATTTCACTATAGTTCCCACTTTACCCTGCTACCCAGAATGGACTGCCATATTTATGTTACCTGCCTGCCTTTTCTAGTTATCCAAGTTTGCAATAGTTTAATTGATACAGTCATCTTGTAATAAATAAAAGATAGGCATTCTCATATTGTTTAAAAGATGATACTCCAGGATATTATTAAAGTTAGAAAATAAAATACAGTGTTTTATTTTAATTCATTAGCAAATGTTATAGATATACCTTTGGCAGTGATTTCCTTTTATCCCATTATATTGTGATTAAATAACACTGAAGGTCTAATGACCCAAATCAAAGGCAGAATGAAGTTATCAGTTTGTTGTTATACCCCTGTTTAAAACATGTAGCCAAATTACAGTTATAACTAATACATAAAGATATAAATGAATTAACATAAAATAAAAACTCCCTTTTCTTACACTATATGGCTAGTTGGTGATCTCTATAAATTAAATCAATAAATTAAAACTAGAACAATGATACCAGCAATGATAAGTTTCTAAATAAAATTATTAGGTAGGATAAAATTAAAGGCTGTATACTGAATTTGATAGAGCACCTGGTATTTTTCAAATTATTTTCTGAATGTAATCTAATTTGATTCCCCTGGCTAACTAAAAATTATGGCTCTGCCTACCTTGGCTTTTTCAATATAAATAAGGAAACTGAAGCTCAAAGAATTAGTGATCTGCCTGTGGTGATATAATTAGCACATAGCAGATTCAGAGGCAATGTATAACACTAATTTGGATCCTGGTCAAACAAACCAACTGCAATCATAAACATGCTTTTGCATGATTTCAATGCTTTTAAATTTGTTGAGGTTTGTTTTATGGTGCAGAATATAGTTTATCTTGGTGAATGTTCCATATGCACTTGAAAAGAATATGTATTCTGTTATTGATGAGCAAAATGTTCTATAAATATCAATTAAGTCATCAAAATGATTAGAAAAATATCATGAGGCAATTGGGGAAACTAGGAATTATTTATAAATTTAAAATTATTATGGTATTATGATGATTTTTGAAGTGAGTTATCTTTTGGAAATATGTACTAAAATATTTGCAGAAAAAAGTTATAATAGTTGACATCTACTTTAATGGAGGGTGTATATGAAGGCAAAATGAAACATGATTGGCTAGGAAATTGAAAATTTTCTCAAGTGAAAAGTAGTATTTGAATGTCACTCCTCAAATTAAATTAAAAAAATAAACAAAATGAACAAAATAAAACCGGAGTTTTCAAGTTACCCATCCAAAATTTTTGTTGATTACCTATGGTTCCATTATGCTAATTTGGCTAATATAAATTGTTTACATAAGGTATAACAATCTGCTGGATCCAAATCACTGTTTCAAAACCATCCTTGAGTACAGATTTATATATTCAAACATAGCAATTTGCATTTATTATGTGAAAATTAAATATCTCCAAAGAGCACTTTGCTTTATATGAACAGTTTATGTATCACACAAGAGAGTCAGAGATCATTTTCATTTATTTATCAAAATCAACATTTCAACTATTATTCTTGTTTTTTTAAAAAATTTTTAGTGTTTTTAAAACACTGACTTGAAATATGCATATAAATAAGGATACATCAACAAGTCACTTAATGAACATTTAATATATTGGATAATACATATGTCATATGAAAAAAAATACTAATTATACATCCTTGAACATTGGCTTTGCAAGTAAATTTGGAAATGTAAGGTATTTCTTTAAATCCCTCACAAATAATTTCCTTCAATGATTTCACAGACAATCTGACTGGTCATACATAGCAAGAGTGGTTTCCAGAATCTAATTACTGATGGAGGCAGGTTTTATTATAACCAATGACTCTCCTAGAACCCTTTAAGGTTTAATTATACATTTTAATTCCACCTTATCTATTAGTTATAAATAAATATGACATGTGGGTAAAATTAAGGAAATGATATTAAACTCTCTGAAATTAGAGACTAGAATACATTATATCACTATTTTCAAAATCAGGGGATGCAATACTTATAAGACACTGTTTCTTTACTTACCCTCGCCCTGGAAGAAGGTACACTTTAACAAAGGGGTCAGAATAACCATTGTTGTCTCGAGGGACTAGGTTTCTTGCTTGGAGAATATGTATTATGAGATTTCCAAGATCATAGTTGATTTGAAGCTTAAAGAAACAAACATATTTGGTGAATATTATTTTTTTGTTTCAAAAACAATACATTATCATTCAATATCTTACAAGTATTTTTTGTTGTTGTTCTCATAAGAAGCATCAACCCTTATTTCCATTTTATTTGAAACTGAACAGACCAGTGAATGTCTAATTTAATTGGAAGTTCTCAGGCACATGTTAATTACCAGTAAAAGTGCTGTTCATTTTTCTTTAGTGAAAGTCCTGGCCTATCTCAAACTCATTTAGAAGGAAAATCATACATTGAATTCTAGTAGTATTTTTAAATATATATATTCTCAGGAAAATAGTAAATGTTTAACATTCATGAATACAATTATGGGGACTTTGAAAATAAATTAACTAGTTGAAAAATTTGTTAAGAAAACGCCTTTTGTATTTCACCAAATAGTTAGCAGTGGATAGAATCATTACTTAGAGATACAGCTATCACTACTAAAATGCAAGAATATTTTAGAATGTGTAAAATTTATCTCTTCCAATATTACATCATATGATGCTAAACCTATAGCTTTTCCTTCTGTTCTGCCTGCCTTTCTAGTAGAGTGAGAGGTTAATGAAACTGGGGAGGGGGAAGGGACAGGGTGGAACGGGTCATTGGGGAGAAAAAGGGACATCTGTAATATTTTAAACAAAAAATAAAATTAAAAAATAAAATAAAATCTCTCTCGAATCTGCAAAATTAAAAAAAAAAAAGCTGGAGAGGAAAGAAGAGGCATTGCCTCATAGATGCTAAATGACTGTTGCAAAATTGTCATTGAATAGTAAAAGATCTATGTTTCTTTTTTTTAAAATGTTTTTATTGACTTCAGAGAGAGGAAGGGAGAGGGAGAGAGAGAAGCTCAATGATGAGAGAGCTGTAATTGATCTGCTGCCTCCCGCACGCCCCCTACTGGGGGTCGAGCCCACTACCTGGGCATGTGCCCTGAACGGGAATCGAACTGCAATGTCCTAGATCCTAAGTCAATGTTCAATCACTGAGCCACGCTGGAAGGGCAAAGATTATATTTCTAATAAATATTTGAGAAGCCGGCATAATTCAAAATAATTGAATTAACACATTTTTCTCCTTTGACATTTGGCATTAGAATAAGGCTTAATTCTGTTTCATGCTGTTTTTATCAATTAACAAAGAGCAGAAAAGATGCATTTCGAAGGGGAAAAATCCATAAATAAAAATACTAACATTTTTTTATAATCAAACTAAGCAGACACACTATGGTTATGTGGAAAATGAGGTAATGTAGATGAGCCACACTTTATCTAAAATTTCATAATTAGAATAATTCTTAATTTTAGCATAATTTTGATCTGGTTTTATCTTGTGGCAAAAAAAGGGATGTTCAATCACTTTTCTCAATGCAGAAAGGCCCAGAGTCTGACCATCATGAAAGCAATGAGAAACATAGAACAGTGTCCTGAAGAAAGAGAAGAAATGGGAAGTTTAGGACTGTAGGAACTGTGTGCTGTGATGGGTACTGAAATATACAAATAGTCTGAAATTAATTTCACTGAGGTTTAGAACAGCTTCCAAATATTTAAGGGGAAATTCTCCCCTATTTTCTCTTGTCTCTGCCAGCCCTAAGTCCATTTTTAACTGATACAGCACACAAAGTATTTCTTTTATTTTTTTCAAAACCATTTATTATTGAAATGAAAACCTGCAGGCTTCTCTAAGATAGTGCTTTTCAAAATTGACTCTGTCAGGCCTTCAGGAACACTTAGAGTTGCTCAGAGGTTACTTCCAAGAGAGAATAGGATGTCTCCAGCAACCCTCAGCCGGAGGTACTCAAGTGCTGGCAAATTCATTGCTTGGGTGTCTACAAAGGTGTTATTTAGAATAGGGGTTTTGCTAAAAGAAAAAGAAAGCTGAAGCCAATGTTATAAGGAAATTAAAAAAAAAAGGGGGGGGCGAATATCCCAAGAGTTAAGAAGGAATGTCATTAGTGTAAATTTCCACTATAGAATTAAAGAGAGAAAGATAAAAGCACCAACGATGAGAGTCATTGATCGGCTGCCTCCTGCACACCCCCTACTGCGGATCGAGCCACAAAGAACAAACAGCCACAAACCAAAAAGAAACATAGCAAATATTGGTCCATGGGCAAGAAGTTTTAAAAAAATGGGAGAGAGACAGATATTGTGAATCAGAAAAGCTAACTTTGTTGTTGTTGCTGTCTATGAAATGAAGGATCGGAGTCTGACTTTCCTTAAGTGGGAAACAGCAGTGAGTCAGCAGGATTTCAAGTACATACATAATCAGGCTCCATCCCACTGTCCTTCTTAGGTGCCCACCTCCAGCACTTTTTCTGTATTTCCACTGCCATACTCCACTTTTGCTTTAATTAGTGTGTGCCTAGATAATCACTTAATGATTTTGCGTGTTCATCCCTTTATAATATTTCCTGTGGCCACGGCTGTATGACTTATTACACAGTCCTTTCAATTAAGTCTTTTTCTTACTCCAAAATATTTACTGGTCACCCTGTTATTTAGTGGCTAACTCCCCCCCACTCAGTTTACGTTCAAGGTTCTTTTAAATTTGTCTTATCCCTACAGAAACATTTCATGGCAGCAAAGCTGACCTCTGCATTTCATTACTCTCTGGCAGCAGAACCTTTTCTTACACCATTTCTTCTTCTAGGAACACACTCCCCTTTCTCTCTGCTTATCCTCAAATTAGTTCAAATCTCTGATATCCTTGTGAAGTCTTTCATGAAAATTTCCTCCAGAACGTGCTGGATACGCAGCTAAGCCTTACTGTCCTCATTCCCTTATCTGGAACTTACTATCTTCAAAGTTATTATTTTATATTGTGTTAATTCTTTCTATGTGACATTGCTTATCTACTTTAAATTACATTTTGGTATCATCTAAAGTACAGTTTTCTAATATTTTTACTATGACCCACAGTAGGATATACATGGTATTATTTTATTACACTAACACAGAAACACATGCATAGAACTAAAAAGAGTGATTTACACTACTTTTCTTCTATCTTCCTGGTCAAATCCGCTAAACTGACTTTATAAGTTACAAATTGGTTATGACCCAGGTAAGAAAAACACAGCTCTACAAGAACTGTTCAACAATTATTTAACAAGTGTTAATCAGAGGAAGAAATGGGGATAGGATTAGGCTCATGAAACTCTTTGAGGGGGAAATTTCAAATTTCCAGGAGAATCTGTCATGTTTGAAACACATTTAACAAGTATAAAGTAACTGAGGCATGAAATATATTAATACCTCTAAGGTATCAGGCTGATTTTGAGGTATATAATTTCATAGATAAAATTAGATTTCATAAAACACACATTCATACTAAAATACTACCCTATGCAATCATGTTTGTCCTTTATAGATCTGTATGTGTTATAAAACAGAAAAGGTTCTAGCAGTGTGTACAACTTCAGTAGACCAGGGGGAGGAACAACCAAAAAAGATGATATAATGATGATTAGAAAAAACATTTTCATACCTGAATTTCCCCTGTAATTGGATGAGAGACAACCTTTGTTGCATCGGTAGGCTGTAACATTAAAAACATACATTATAATAATGGATAAACCCCTCATAGAATTTACCATTTCAACCTCCTTCTGAAATTAATTTCCATTTGGTCAGAGCACGCTGCCTGGAAAATATACTTTACCCATTTGTCTGCTTCAGATGATGCTGTTGCTTGTACTTGTCAATACATGTTTAATTTTATAGCTACATAAATCTACTTTTCATTTTGTTAAGCCTGTTTTGAAGCTGTAATTTTATACCTGCAGTAATGTATTTTCAATTTCTTAAGAAAATGAACACTTCTGGTTCAATGTACTCCATTTAAGTATTTACAAGATTTAAAAATCTATAGAGGAATAAAAAAGACACTGTTTTTACACAATGACTGCCTAGGAGACAGTTATGAAAGCCCAACCTTGTACTCCTCTGTTGGGTGTACCTGCTCCCCTCTAGGCTCAAGTACCCAGCAATCACTTTCTAATATCTCACACTCATTTATAATTCCATCCCATTCCATTTAAGTTCTCATTTCTTTAATAAGTCCCTTTTGTTAGTAAAGCATTAAAACAAGAATGTGATTTGATAAACTGATTCATACTGCTGAATAAAAGACTGATTGCTGACTCGTTACATTTCAATGAAATATTTATAGAAAAGGAGAAATGATGTCCCTGACCCCAGATCTTACAGAATTTTAGGCAACGTGGAATGTGGCATTATGCTAAATACAATTGAAATGTTTTAATTTTAATAAATTTCATTACATTAATATTTTTTTAATTTAATATTTGGTCTCATACCTAATAAAAACATAAAAATATTAAAACTATAATCCTCTAAAGTACATTTGATATTTGGAAATATTATATTACCTCACTCTGGGATATGTAAGCTACCGACCATCATTTAATGTTTCTATAATTTCTCAATATAAATTTTTTAACATTGTAGGATTTAGAGAACAAATAAAAGTATTGCCTTTTGTGCACACCACATGCTAATGGGTCAAGAATTACCATTAAATTATTTACTCATTCAGCACAAATGTTTTGAGAAACTCTGTACCAGCGAAACTTGAAGATCAACACCAAAAAAGATGAACAGGCAATATTCCTTCCTTCAAGGTAATGAAAAGAGAAATCTCAGCCTGTAACTCAAGAGACAGCCTCTGGGAGGCAATCCTTAATATTTAACACATAATTGCATGTTATAAAATATAGTTGTGTTAAAATTTATTTTGAAATTGAGTCTAACTATCCCTGAATTGGTCTTCAGGAAGCCTTGCTATATTTAATTAGGAATAAGACATTTTATGATGCAGTGATTAAAATCATCCTACCTTTCTTGTTGGCTTCTGAATAAACGGGATTTTGGGTGACATCTGCTTTTTTTAATACTTAGTAAAACAAACTTTTTATTCTGAAGTCCAGTCAACTTAACCAAGAATAGCCTGTCCTTCCCATATATCTCACCACACAAAAGAAAACCTCTATGGGTGTTTAATCAGACAAAAACTTTCCAATGTGTTTATTGACAATGAGGAAAGCTTCTCTCTTAACAATCAAATCTGAGGGAAAAATTACAAACTGTCTACATTTCTATCTGCTTTTATAAAGTTAAACAATTCTTTGTTTTCTTTTAATTCCCTAGTAACTCTGAAATGATGTTTGTGTTAAAACAGTGTTAGAAACATTTGTTTCAAATAAAGATTTGCATCAAGAGAAAATTTATTGGTATGAAATTAGGGATAAAATTCAAAATGGCAATGCTATATTAATATTTTTCCTTGTTTCTTATTAACCTAAATTCTCTTTATCTGTGTCCTTTTTACCTTTTATGTTACAAAATCTAATGTAATATATAGCTTGTGTTTCTAAAAAGATGTAAAGCTAATATCTGACATAGAAAGTGGCTCAGATTTATGCAACAAAAACAAAGAAAAAAATAACCAGGAAATGAGATGCGTCAGATACATTTTTCAAGTTCTTCATATAGAAATACATCATCTTGATACATTTTGAATCAGTCATATAGTCAGAAATGGAAAACTGGTTTGTTTGTTTGTTTGCTTCAACAGAGAAGAAGGAAACAGAAATCATAAGAACATCTTTGAAAATGATATTGTATTTCCTATCTCCTAGTCTAAATAAGGAACTAGAAAGTAAGTAATTCAGAGGTCACATCAAGCAATTCTCACCTTGCTACTGCTGCTGTGTTTCTTTTTGCTCACGGAGGGTGACCCAGGTTGCCCAGGGCTGGGAACAGAACTGGATCCAGCTGATGTAGGACCTGAATGAACGTGAGATCCCTTTTCAGCGACCGAAGACATAACCAGTGGTGACTGCTGGAGCGAAACCTTCTGGAGCTCTGCTGCCAACTGCTTAGGATCGACCCCTGGGGATTTCGCTTTATCCACTACAATAAAATAAGTTACACATTTTTCAATTTCATAGGGACTTAACACCATGGGACTTATTTGAGTTCTAGATGACAAAGTCAAAATATTACTTATACAACAAGCTAACATTTAAAAAAGTAAATAAACGTAATTGTACCTTTATGTATCTATTTCTAAGAAGTCTAGAAGGCAAACATGCAAATGTGTGTTTCTCTAGAATGCTAAACACACAGCGACAATGCTTCTGATATTGCTTATGATTATATACATGTTACAGATATTTACATAATCATAAGGCTATAGCTTTATTTTTGCCTATGTTTACATCTAATATCTTCATCTACAGCCACATCTGCCTCAATAATTGCAGATGGTTCCCAATTTATACTAGTTTGACTTAACAGTTTTTCAACTTTACGATGGTGCAAAAGTGATACAATAACAAATTACATGAGATACTCAACAATTTATTATAAAAGAGACATTGTTTTAGATAATTTTTCCCACCTGTAGGCTAATATAAGTGTTCTGAGCACATGTAAGGCAGGCTAGTCTGAGCTATGATGTTTGGTAAGTTGGGTGTATTAAATGCATTTTTTACTTAAGGATATTTTCAATTTAGGATGGGCTTATTGGGGCATAACCCACTGTAAGTAGAGGAGCATCAGTACTTCTACATCTATATTTTTATTCACAGTTGAAAGCAGATTGCTTTCACCTACCAGATTTTGGTGGTTCATGAAGTTCCAGGTGCTGGGGATTTTCAGAATCTGATAGCATGTTGAGGTCCCTAAAAATTAAAACAAAAAAATTAAGACAGAAATTGAGGAAGCCTGAGGCAAAAGGCCCTTTTCCCCAACTACCCTGAATATTTTTTTAAGTAGGTAAATGAGAAGTGGTTAATGATATAAAGCAATTTCAAAGCATGCTCACCCTTCTAACCAAATATATATTTGCAATGTTGTTAAAAGTTGGCTGATAAAAATGATTATTTAAGGTGAAATCTTTATGGATTAAATGTAAGTTTATTTTGAAATACCATACATATCCATGAAATCTAAATGGGTTTAGGTTTTCATTTAAATGAAGCATATCTCAATAAAAGCATGAAAGGGGAGAACTATTGACATTAATCAGAGACAAAATTATCTGAATTCTTTCTATGCTTTAGACTTTGATTCTGAACACAAGAAATCTATAAAACTTGTATTCACTTTATTTTCTCATTACAGAAAATCTTGCTGACTGTCAAAGGTTCCACCTTAACAATTTTAAATTAAAAGAGCCATGAATAGCCAAAAAATGGAAACAGAAAGATGGGGAAAAACTCACAGTCTTACACATATTTCTGCTTCCCCACTTTGCTGACTAATGATACTCTGCACTTCTTCATACGTTTTAGAAGTTAAAGGAACTCCATTCCATTCCAATACTTGCATCCCTAAAAAGACAAATTCAAGTATAACATGAAAAATGTGTGCTATTTCTAGTCTGGGTCCATGGGTCGTAGAAGACACTGCTTTGCATTTACAAACCAACTCAGCACACCGTCTCAGAGAACATCAGTTCAAAGTTCTCTGGAACATTAATGCCAAAACCACGTGTAGTTTGATTTCACCCACTTACCTGAACACATAAAATATATCTAAGACAACATGCAAAATGTTGCTTTTGAAATCTATTAAATATTATCAAACACATGCATTTTGTTCACACTGCTATAAAGAAAACATTATTGAATGTATACTGCTTAGACCAATTTTGTGTCAGACAAAAAATAATTACAACCAATATCATCTTTTCATGGGGAACAAGCAAGTAAACTGTAAACTTCCATACTCTATTTTGTGGAATGGGAGTGGTAGGAGAAAGTCATTAGGATTTTGCTATGCAGGTCCCCTTAAGAAACGGTTACACCTTCAACTTGGCTCAGATAAAGCAGTTTCTACATTGTGTCTTTTCTTCTCTGCATGCAAGACATTCCAGAGTAGAAGCAGCAGAAATGCTACAGAGGACAGCGTCGTGGATGCTGGTGGCCTGTGCAGCGCACAAGGCCCTGTGCTCAGAAGGCCCTATGCTGGTTTTAATGCTTTGCTGTTGCCATCTTGAAATTCTTAATGTTTGAACAAAGAGATATACAATTTCATTTTGCACTGGGTCCTGTAAATTAGGTTGCTGGACTAGTTACAGGGCTTTTCATGTTTCCTCTCTATCTAAAAAGACAATTTTCATACAAAAAATAGTAACATTTAATATTTCAACATTTTACTTTTAGTTTCTTTGGTCCATTTTACATGAGCTGTCAAAATAATTTAGGGACAAATATTTGGCACAAATCCGATGGCCCTAATATGTGGCTATCTGAGCTGGATATAAATTAGATAAAACCATTCAAAGTTATAGTGCCCAAATATTTGTGAATGCTGCCAGCTTTACCTGAGAAAAATATCTGTTTGCCATACTAGGCCATAATTAAATAAAAAGAAATACTTGTTGAAAAATTACACTTTCAATGTGCTTCACAGATGCCTATGTGAAATTACCTGTTGCTCAACATTGGTTTCAATGGGAAATTCTAAACATGACATGACTGAGTCTTTGCAATTTTAAAGACTTTTATGTACATTGAAAAGCATATTACCAGATGCAAGCAAGTATGGGAAATGCTTTTACTACAGTCGAATGGCAAAAGAAACCTGTAAAAATGTCCACAATAACACAAACAAGAACAACTTTCCATAACTTACTCTAAGAAAACTTTATCTCCAGATGGGCTTTAGGTTTATTGCAACAATCCAAGGCTGTTGTACACATAAAATGAAAAAAAATTATATAAAAGACAGCGGTGATAGCACCTAAAGAAAAGGTTAGTACTGAAAGACGAAAAGCCCACAGAAAAACACTTTTTTCTTTTAGCCAAGAGTAAGAGTATATTTATGGACAGATGATTTTGAATGGAAACAAAATTAATGGTGTTATAACCCAGAAATTGCATTGTCACTTTTCTGCAGGAGCATACTCTATGAAAAGAAATAGCCACAAAATCTTCATGCTACTTCTGTTGGATTTACCTGTTTATTTTTCACACCTCAAAAAATAACAGAGCAAATTTACAAAACATAACTATCTACAGAAATGAAAAATGCTTCTAGTCATAAAAAAACTAAACTAGAATCATTAATTACATTGCTGAAAAATATACAGAAAACTAGGGTCTTGCCCAGATATTTACCTGAGAGCATGAACTATATGATATGCTCTGTCCCATGATATACCTGCTAAACTTTTCCATTCACTCATTTCCCACCAGCGTTGGTACAATACTATAGTTCAAAAGATTTCTCCGGTTCTTTTATCCTTTTATTCTTGGTTCCCAGGATGAGTATCAGATACTACAGGGAATGTGAGTACTGAACGCAGTCATTTAGTAACACTTCCCCTTTGTACTCCCTCTCCAACTTCTACAAATCCTACAAGAACCCCACTAAAATAACCAATTGAACATACAAATAACTCCTTATTAATTCATAAGGTGGTTTTAGTAGTTGTGAGAATTAAGTATCATGTGACATCAAATACAATATTTTTGAGAAATATGTTAATTGTAAAATTCTATAAACTATTGCAAAACGCATGCAAAAATTTGTTGAAAATGATCATACTACACGGAAGTTGACTAAAATAGTATTTTACCATTTAATTGATTTGAATGTAAGCATATTCAAACTTCAGGTAACTTTTTACTCTGACTTTGAGGAATAATTCCTGGAAGATAGTGTACACATAAATGGTTAAATCTATTATTTAGCATTATGAGCAAACAATTACATTTTCTTTATATTTCAATTATATCAACATGTATGTTAACCAATGTTCAGTTTGGGAGTGTACAGATAATTCTTCAATTACATCCCTAGAAATTGCCTATTCTAATAGTTTCTCTTAGGAAAACTAAGATCATCCAAATTTTTGCTGAATGTGCAACAATGATAATAGGACTTGGTGCTCAAAATAGCATACTTTAATGTTATCAAAATTCAAAATTATAATAATCAGGTCATTTTTTTAATTAAAAAAATCAACATAAAATATTCTGAAATGTTTTTTCATAACTTCTGGGATTACTTAATTTTGTATGTTCATCAAACTGGCAAGAGCTATTCTTATCTTTATAATCTGAAATTTCAAGCATGTTATTTTTGTCTATATTTAAAGTTTACCATTACTTCAAAAACATCTATAGATTAAAATTATTGAGTTAACAAAGTCTTATAGGTTACTGTATGTCCTATCATATATCAACAAAAGCTCATGACTTTTATTTACTTATTCCACAGATATTTTTTCAGTACCTAGTATGTGGCAGGCAATACACAATGCATCACCTTTGTAATGATCACCACCTTTATGCTGTTATATGCTAATATTTTTTGCTGTCCTATGAATTAATAAAATATATTCCACTAGAAAAAACAGAAATATCTTGGCAATTAGTAAAATAAAGATGATTCACAGGGAGGTAATTCAAAAGTGTTATAAGTATATGAAAAAAAGCCCAGACTCATTGTGATTAGAAAGTACAAATTCAAGCAATAATGACATGTTACTTAACTCCCATCACGCAAAAAGTTTGAAGCCAGGAAATACCATGTATTGACCACAATGTGGGATTATGGCACTTTGACTTCAAGGGAGATTATGTTTGCTAGATGGTTTTTCAGCTTTATCCCCACTCTATGATGTGAGGAGACGGTATCAGCATGACAAATAAAACAACTGCTTATTTACAATTTCTAACATGTAATTATTTAAATGGAGATGCAGAAAAGAGCTACCACTCTCGAAGGAGGTGTGGCAGAACACTGTTAAATTAAGTGCATGTACTTCCCACAACCCGGACATCCTCTCCTTGACCATCTATCTGTGGGAGGTGGGAGTTCCAGGAGAAATGGACAATGAGAGGGCTGTAAGTGCACACCATGGAAACGCTTCACAAAGTTGGCAGGAAACAGATTGCAAGTGTTAACACCAAAAGGTGAAACCATCTTAAAATCATTTGCCAAGTAAAAACAAGTGAGAAACAGACTGTTAAGCAAAAGAATACGCTATGATAATATACTCCATTTTCATCCTTTGGCAGACTCTTGACAAGAGTTCTTTAGAAAAATGTTATACGGCTTAGGTATATTTTTAAATAGCTCCAAATTGGAGAAGTAAAATTCTACATTGACTGTCATTAACTTGGGGTGTGAACTTGATAAATCCACTCTCTATGTTTCTTCTTTCACTCATACTTTTTGTGACGAGCAAGCAAAGGATGGGTCACATGTATAAATTCTCAGATGAAATTAATTTGCACATTTTAAAATTCTTAAGGTCCATCCATGTTGTCACAAATGGCAGAATTTCATCTTTTTTTATGGTTGAGTAGTAGTCTATAGTATACATATATATGACATCTTCTTTATCCAATCCTCTATCGAAGAACACTTTAGTTGTTTCCATTTCTTGCCCACCATAAATAATTATGTTAAGCGAAACAAGTCAGTCAGAAAAATGTAAGGCCCGTATGATTTCACTGACATGTGGGATAGAAAACTGAAACTCATAGACACAGACAACAGTGTGGTGGTTACCTGAGGCAAGGGGGCGTAGGAAAAGGTAAAGGGGGCCACATACACGGTGAGGGAAGATGATCGGACTCTGGGCGGTGGGCACACAATGCAATATACAGATCATGTATCATAGAAATGTGCACTTGAAACCTATATAATCTTGTTAACCAATGTCATCTTAATAAATTCAATTAAAAAAAGAAACATAAAATTCTCACAACATTTTGAATAGAAGAATATTTAAGATAAGTCAAAGACTACAGAACTGTCTGTGCTTATCCATGCTTCTTTTTAAGTCTGATTTGGAATCAGAGGCTTTTTACACTCACAGACCTAAAATAGATTTAACTTCAATCATAAAAAGTAACTGTAAAGAAAATCAATTATCACACATCTTGCAGTATTAATGGTCAATAATAAAAAGGTCATTGAAGAACAATTACATAAATCAAATTATATAATGTTTTAAAAGCACATCACAACTATTTATAAACTTGTTATAAATCAGGCAATATCCTTGTAGATGCTCTAGTTTTAGTCTTTTGTACAATATATTAGAAAAATGAAACATGAGGTAACATGACTTTTTTAACATCACACAGTTAAAGGTAGTGCAAAAATATGAGCTCCATCTTGCTGTCCCTAAGGCCAATGCTAGTATTGGTTAATGGGAAAATGCATTCAGTGTATGCCACTTGAATATAAACAGAGTTCAACTATGTAAAACATAGCACAAATAATACAAGTATTATTTATAATGCTATTTTAATGAGAATAAAGATAATTTAGAAATTATATTAATTATATATATGACAATATTATTTGA